AAAGATTTTAAATAGTGTATTACTCACTGAAAAACAAAAACAAACAAAAACTTACATGTTCAACAACTGGAATGGCTTAAGGAAATTAAGAGTATATTTAGATGGTAGAATATCATATAGCCATTAAAATTTTGTTTATGAAATCGTCAACGACATCAGAACATGTTTAGGAAATAACATAAAATTGTAGTATTTTCAGCTACATTTCAGAATTGTTCAGGATTATGGACTATTCTTTATGTTTTTGTGGCTTCCACAATAAGCCATGCAGTTTTACTACTAAAAAAAACCAGAAAGATAGCCTCACAAGGTTAAGTGATAATGAATTAAACGATAATGTACACAAAGTAACGGTTCTCAATTTTGGGAGCTCAGGTACCATTTCAGACCAATTAAATCAGAATATCTGGAGGTGGGGTCAGGGCATCAAGATTTTTCCAGAGGTCCCCAGGTATATTCTAATGGGCATCCAGGATTGAGAAACCTGAAGAAAAGGGCCTAGCTTAGAACACAGAATTCAGTTGAGGCCTTGCAAACCACACTACTTAGAAGCATCATTTCTCTGTAGGTCATATACTTTTTTTGATTGTAGCAATAGTAAAGCATGTATTTTGTATTTTCAAAACTGGGATTTTTTTAGCAAACATAGTAAAAAAAAAAAGTATTTAATAAATTTTATTAAATTACTAAAAGTTCAATTATAGGAACAGTGCTAGTCTGAAATGTATTCTGATCAGTTTGGTGAGAATATTGGCATGTTTAACAGAACGAACTACTTTCACAAGAAATTTCATAAGAAATTTTACTTTCAGGTTTATGGCACTACTGGTGGCTCTCACTTGAGCATAAATTAGATCATGAAAGAGACGTGCTTTTTTTTAATCAATGTATGTGGGCAGACAGTCTATATGTTAGGAAAACAGTAGAACACTACCCTAGTTTCCTCACTCCAGAGGCAATCATTTTCAGTTTTAGCTGGTTCCTTTGGTATTGCTACATTTCAATTTTTCAGTTGTGGGCATTATCTACTGACCTGCTGTTAAGGTAGGAATAAATTTCGTTCTCTTTTACCCTTCCTTCCCGTCACACACATTCCTTCCCTTTCCATCCTCCCAACAGATATATACTCTAACTCAGTTAACTCAATAGTCAACATTTACATTCCTCTTAACTAAATGCTAATCACCGCTGAATCACATAGTTCATATTCTATGAATCTTATCATCTTACAGAATACATTTTTGTTTTTTTCTTAATTTAACTGCTGTTCATTCATGTTCTAAGTTTCTGGTGTTAATTATTTCTGATTCAATCTCAAATTTTCCTTCTGTGTGTATATATTTTCTAAATTTCATTTTCCTGAAGAAATCTCTGGCAGCCATTTGGGCTACTCTAGTCTGAACTAGATGCCCTCTAGGCTTGCTGCATCACTGTTGCCTTGGGACTCTCCTCTTATTCCCTTCCTTTTTCATGTTGGCTCCTGTCTCATCAATTCCATCTCTCTCCAATTTCTGGTTTACCTCCATGCATTCTCCAATAGACATCATGATAAAGGGTACACGGGGGTGGGATGGTGCATTTTTGAAAATTTGTAAGTCATTAGTCTAGCACTTAATGGTTTAGTTGGGAATAGAATTCTAGATTAAAAAGAAATTTCCTTGAGAATTAGAGAGTACTGCTCCATTGTCTTTTTTAATGATGCTAATTGATAAGTCTGTTTCTTCCACTGTATTGTTCACTTGGTGGACTGTTTCAACTCACAACACTGTCATTCAGTTCTGGGTAATTTTTAAAATTATTTCGATGACTTTTCATTTTGTTTTTTCTGTGCACTCTTTCTGAACTCATATTATCTGCATATATGGGTTGGATGGATTGTTTTTCTCTCCAGGAATAATAATGATGCATTTTTTGATATTTACTTTTCCTGAAAAGCCGTTGCTAACTCTTGTTTCTGTTTCTTTTGATTAGGTCTGTACCTTAGACATAAGAGGTTTACCTTTAGAATCTGGTCATCCTTGACCACTAGCTAACGCATGCCACTAAAAAGTTGTGTAGAATCCTGTGACTGCGGATGGGGCGTGTCTACTGTGGGCTTTAACATAGGCAGTTTCCCAAACTTGCCTGATTATGGGACTCATCAAACATAAACATTCAGATTCACGGATCCCTGAATGAGCATTTCCAGGGAAGGGCCTAGAATGTTAACGTGTAATAAACACCCAGGTTGGCTCTTAATACCAAGAAAAACTGGGAAATACTAATAGCTGAGTCAGTTTCTTTCTTTTTTTAACTTCAACTGCAAAATATTAAATGGCTTCGAGTTCATAAAAAGTTAATCTACTATTTAATGAAAAGCTCTATAGTAAACAACCATCAGCCCTTCTAGAATTCCCAAGAGGTGACTAGTGATGCTACCAAGACTTGCCCTCCTGTCCAGAGAACAGTCAATAGACGATTGGAACTCATTCTGCACTCTATATAATCCATATTCCCCTCCCCCAGAGGAAACCACCCTCCTGACTTCGGTGATAACTATTCTCTTGCTTTCCTTTATGGTTTTAGCACTTTAGCATCCCTAAATAAAATATCAAAATGAATCAGGAACAAAATTTTTTCCTGAAAATACTGCAGATCACTAATTTTCAGATGAAGGAACTTGCATTCCATTATTTTAAATGAGAAAAGTAATAATGCCTATTCAAAGCCTCTAATTTTCCCCTAAATCACTGTGACACTCTTAAATACTTAAATAACAATCCGCCAAGGGTTTCTGCATAACCTAAAACATTAAAAACATGAATTACTTAATTACTTAAAACACGTTAGTATGTTTGTGTGCTATGCCCAAGAACAGGAATGTGCTACTCGAAGTGCTGGTCTGCAAACTGTTACTGATCTAAGAAGAGATAAGGAACTCAAGCCAGAATACACAACTACCATATTTTTACACAAATAATGCATATCATCTATGTTTCTTTGCCAGCCACTCCCCCACCCATGTATTTTCTGAAGTGCACTATGCTAATTTTTTTTTACAGTAACATGTAAAAAAAAAAAAAAATTGGCATAGCAGCACTTACCTCGACGGTAAGTAGAAGAAATGTAGACGGTGAGCATTATTAGCATAAAAATATGGTATGTTTCTAAGCATACACTGCTTAGTTTAGCTGACTTTCTTGACAAAGCAAACAGTGCTCAATACAACCTGGCACGAGTAACTTATATCATCCTAGGCTATTAACAGAACAGTTTTTGGATTTGTTTTCATCCACATTTTGAATACAACTCTTATTTAGATATGAATTATGCTTTTCTTCTACGCTGCAATGGACATGTACTAGAAGAGGAAAAAAAAAAAGAAATAAATATAAGAAAATATTGGAAGCCATGAAGAGCTAAACCTAGAGTGTTTATCATCCAAATAGTTCTCATTTTTGAGAGAGAGAGAGAGGTGCTACTAAGAATTATGACAGGATAACAGGCATAAACTGGGACTGTCCCAGGCAAATCAGTACATATGGTCACCCTATGGTCACAAAGGCCGACAAAAATGAGTAGTGGGAATGCACATAAATGTTTAAACGACACCAGCAAGACTTGCAATCCTGTCTGGAGAACAGCTGGTACATGACTACATCTCACTCTTGTGTTATATGCCATCTCGCGTGCACACACGCAGACTCAGTGATGGAAAGCTTCTGATTCAGATAACTCTGGGTAAGTTTCTGTAAGTTATTATAGTGAATATTTGTGAGGTTTCAGATGGTGAGGAATACCTGAAGATTAGCTTTGTCTTTAAGTTCCTATGAATGGAATCATGCTACATGTATTCTCTGATGTCTTGCTGTTGTTAGATCTCTCACATAATGGTGCTGATCTATGGATGGGTCAAGAATCACCTCCGTGGGTAAAGGAGGAGGTGGGATTCCTTAGTTACTATTGTCTGGGCATGGTATATTAATTTGTGCTTTGCCTTAAAAAAAAATTTTTTTTTTGAGGGGGGACAGTCTTTGAGATTAACAGTCGCCTTCTGTGGAACAGCCAGGTGCTGGGCCTGTCATAAGAAGAGACTTGCCCTCCCTGGTGAACACTGGGGCGTTTCAAGTGGTTCAAGTGGGTGGGTAGGGCAGAGCCTGATCACAGATGGCTCCTTACTCAGCTGTGCCTTTGGATAAGACACCTCTTCAGTTACTGAGTGAATCTGATGGAACATTTTTTTTAGGGAATGGCTGTGGCTTCCTGGATGTATCCCGGACTGAGAGAACAGTTGCTCATGTCTCTGCTGCTTCAGCCTGGGAAAAGGCAAGATGGGATAGTGTGATTAACAACACAGCTTGGAACAGTAAAATGTTTTGTAGGAGGCTGTCTGTCAGTGGTTCATAAACAGAATTTCCCTGAATTTGGGGAAGGAGGAAGAGAGAAGGTGAGGTGAACACTTTCTGGGCTACTGTGAGCCCTGCTGGCACAGTCATTAAGAGCTACTCAGCTGCTAACCAAAAGGTGCGCAGTTCAAATTCACCAGCCGCTCCTTGGAAACCCTATGGGGCAGTTCTACTCTGTCCTATAGGGTCACTAGGAGTCAGAATCGATTCCATGGCAACGAGTTTTTTTGTGAGGAATAAATGTGATGGACTTGAAAGTACCTACTACATTTAGGCAAGCTGAATTTAACAACCAGACACTCTTTGATCATCATGTAGTACATATATACATATCCATACAGAGAGAGACAGAGAGTTAAAAACAGAACAAAATAACAAATGTTCTCATTCTCCATAAGGAAGAATTAACATTTCTTGAACGTGTATGTCAGGTACTGGTCTTGAGTGCCTCACATATTTTTTCCTTTACTTCTCACAATCACCCAAGTCTTCCTGATTCCACAACCTAGCCCTACCTTCCTTTAAAGTGAAATATAAAATGCCTCCATTGTCATCTTAGGTGAGAGTCCAATGGCGGATGTTTATTCTTCGGTTGCCTTCAGACTCTCCCCTTACCATTGCTGAGAGAATCTGCGCTCCCAGGACTGTGCTGCCTGGAGACCAACTCGCTTCCTGTTTTCCTCATCTCTGTGTTTTCGTTATATCGCCTTTTCCAGTAGTTGAGTTCTTCACGATCAGATTCCTGACAGCGCCGCAGAACTGCCATGGAACGCCTTGTTTTCTCTACCATTTCCATAATGCAATTCAGGGCCTGAGCCAGAAAGAAAGTAAGGCAGAAATGTGATGAGGAAACTCAACCAACATTGAAAATCAAGGACAGGGAAATAAAATATGGAGAATAGGGGTTTAAGTACTTTACAGGTTTAGGAAAATCAAGTTTACATTTGAACATCTTTCTTACTACTTCTTTTAAAATGTATGTATGTGTGTATACGCACATACACATTCTGAAATCCAAAACATGTATGTACATATATTTGGATTTCAAAATAATGCTATTTGAATTCTTCAAAGTTAAAGCAGCCAGAGTTTCTTTATAATATGGTCCTTTAAAGACTGTGGTGAAACCACATTATATCTTTGCCTAAATACTCCAAGTCATCTGATAAAGCTGGAGACTTACAGAAGAATGCAACCAGAGAAATATCACCCAAGGAAGAAAAGTGGCTTCATGGAAATTTCAAGCTACCAATTCTCTTCCCTTTTCAGTGCAAGCAGAAACTCTCTCTCCCAGTGGGAAAGAGAACCCAGGCTTGCATTCTCACGTATTTGGAGCTCCATTTATTTAATGCTTCCTATATGACAAGACCTATGATAAGCACCTTACATATTAACTTAAACCCTACAACTCAATTCAAATAATGCGGGATTCTTTTTTTTTTTTTAAGATATGAAACCTAAGGCTAAAAGTGAAACAACTTTCCCAACAACTTGCCCAGCTCACAAAGACAGGAAGTTGCAAAGCTAGGACAAAAACTCACAAAGCTGTGTTCTTAATCACTATGCTATATGAAATCCTTTTGTTTATAACCTGAAGTGATCACCCTACCAGAGAGAGTTGGGAGTGACTCTTTAGGTCTCTAGCTGAGGGAGTAGTGAATAAATTAGTCTTCAATGAACCATACGTTGACATAACACTTCGGCGCAAGTTTTGGAAGGTTTGCCTCAAGACAGACTTTGCCTGCACGGGGACAAAAGTCACAGTGAAAAAGGACCTCAAAGATGAAAGGCATCCAATTTGAACAAGTTTAGCACCTGACTTTAAACTGATTCCAGCTCCTCTGAACTAGATGAATCAGCTGGACATTATTCAAGGAAGAGAGTCATTCATACATACAGAAAATAGTAAATGTGGGGGTTCTTTACGCCAAAGATATTATGCTTATCATTATGTTCATTTCAAACACACACATTCCATGAACTGCTGGTAATATTAAAAACTGGAAGTCATAGCTAGGAAAATTATACATTATAAGATTCTTACATGATCAAGATGTTTCCATTCATCAGCCCATTCCCTTTCTGTCAAACGGTGATCTACCAACTCATCTTGATAGCCTCCATTTAGACCTATCAAAAATTAGAGATTAAATTTGGAGATAGAAGAATACAGTAGAACAGAATTCTTCTAAGTAAATACACATACACTCCCACCAACTTTGAGCATACTACTAAGGTAATGACAGCACAGGACTCACAAAATTATATACAACTAACAAAAGACAGCTATTCAGAATATATAAAGAACTCCTACAAACTGATTATGAAAGACAAACAGCCCCAAAGAAAAACAGGAAAAGAAATAAACAGGCAAGTCTCAGATAAGAAAGTACAAATGGCCTATAAACATACAAAAAGATAGTCAAACTTATTAGTAGTAAGGGGAAGGCAAATAAAAACTGAGCTACCACTTCACATATACATATTAAAAAAACTAAAACATCAGATAAAACTAAGTGTTGGCAAGGATGTGGCACACACACAAGGATGTGGTGTACAACCACTGGAAACACCTTAGCATTATCAAAATACAGTTTTTTGCATGGTTTTGATAAATACTGAAATTCGCAGGAATGCAATGACTTTGTGAATTATGGGTATACAGAATCCAGAGCTGTCTGCCATTTTGAAAAATCACTTCACATATGGCAACACTGCCCATAGTATTTGAGTTACTAATGTTACACCATTGTATCAGTCTGAATTTAGAAGTGCTGTATTCACAGTAATTCTGTATCAGTGCAAGCATCTGATCATTTCATTATACCTTCTAGTGTAGTCATGCCCGAGCATTAACATATTTTATTATAAAAGACTTTCCTTGTATATTTTACTATAAAATACGTTCTTTATATATTATAGTTAAGAGAGAATACTGATCCTAATATTATGGATCTAAGCCAGGACAGAGTATCTATGAATTTCATTTTAGGACAATAGAAGGGTTTTTAGAATATATTTGTTTCAGAAAGGCGGTGGCAATGAAAGGTTTAATACAAGTTGTGAACCACTGTACCAGGGCATAGGTTTTCAAAAGAAGACTGGTGAAAATCAAAGAATCTGTACCCAGCCTGGCAGACAAACTTAAAAGAAACCATCAACATAGATGATTGAAGGTCCTTCTAAAGTACACTTCAGGATGAAAAAAGTCATTTTAAAAAAATTGTTAGAAATACGAGGAAAATCTGAAAACACTGCAATTACAGCTAGTTTTTTTAACACTTCTCTCAGAAAGTAACAGATCAAACTGGTAAAAACTGTATACGGGTATAGAATAAATCAATAGTAAGCCTACTTTTTAACAGATAAAAAGAGAGACACAGAGGGAAAAGGGATTGAACTATACAGGACATCAGCTAAGGGAGGCCTCATAAAATACTGGCAACACATATAAGCTTTGGGCATTAGACAGTTAGGGTGTGAATCTTGTCTCTGCCATTTGCTAACTATGTGATTTTGGCCATAGTTCTTCTATGTCTCATCTTTAAAAAGGGGTAACAACTGTATGGGACTGCTGTGAGGATTAAATAAGACTATATAAACACAACACAATTTAAGTGGTATGTAAGACTCAATAAATGTTGGCAGCTGTGAACACCACTGCTGCCACAGCCTCCACCATTCAGCTACCACTGTATGAAGCCAGGGCCCAAGTGTGGTACAAGCCTCTGAAGGATACCAGGGAGCCTAAGTCAGAGGCGGGAAGGCAAAATGTGCTGTAATTTTTTCCTCCACAGGGTACCCCACAAAAGGAAATGTAGGGGAAACCTGGAGGCTAGTATCTTTTTGGTCCATGTCCTGATATATGCTCAGATTTAAATTCCAAAGAACCTTCTGCAATAAACTTGTATGAGACAATGAGTGCAAAAAGTAGATGACAAAGAGCTGGGTCCAAAATCGTAAGGTTAGGGGCTTTTTTTGTTTCTACCTAAACTTAATGCTTACTGTGGATCCACATGCCACGCACTCCAAATGTAAGTCTAACAACAACTTAGTAAGGGTAATGTTGTTATCTCCATTTTAGAAATGAGTAGTCTGAGGTTCAGAGAGCCTAAATAATATGCCTAAGATCACACAGCCAAGATTTAAATTTAGATATGCTGCCCTCCTGACCTAAATGACCATGCTCTTTCACCTCCACGACCATATACTGTACATCCTTCTTGCTTAAGTTTTATTTTGAAATAAATGCATACTTAAAGAAAAGTTCCAAGAATTGTATAAGGAATTCCTTTATAATTTCCACTCAGATTTCCCAAGTGTTAATATTGTATCTCATTGCTTTGTCATATTTTTTCTGAATCATTTTAGAATAAGTTACAGATATGATCCTCCTTTATTTTCAAGTATTTCAGTGTATATTTCCTAAATTTTAATTTTAATTTCCATTTATAATTGTATTCATTTTGCTATATTTATTAAGCTGATTTCACTTACTATCAAGACTTTCTTCTTGATAATAATCTCACCTCTATCATATACTGATGATAGCAACAAGGTATGAAGTGAGATCAATTTCAAATGAGATCGATAACAACCTTAAGTAACAATACTATTTTTGAAATATCACTGAAACCTTAGGATTCATTCTGAATTTAAATCATTATTATGCTACTTTATGATACTTACTAAGATTGTGATGTCTGTCACGAACTTCTCGATGTTCTAGCATCTTGTTGGGTTCATGATACAGGTGTGAAGATGCAATATCTTCTAAGGTGTAGTGCTGAAGAGGTGGAGGAGTGGGATGGAACTGGCCCCCAGGATTCATGAGGGGCACAGTGAGGGCAGGACTGTGTCGGGGAGCAGGGCTGATGGTACACACCCTCTTGGCAGGAGGCTCAGGAGGAATTGTCTCTCTTTCAAAACTATTCTCTTCTCTCCTATAGAAAAACCAGAGGTACCCATCTGAGTCTGTCAACAAATGTTCATGCAGACGTCTCCTGAGCACCTCCCTTGTGCTATGTAGTTTGCTATGCACTTTCACAAACAGGAAGAGTATAAGGGAGGGTTTGAACAAGAGGCATCAACTGAAATGAAGTATCTTTGGTGACCAGGCAGATAATGTAAATTGTTGATTTATTCCAGATGAGAAGACAGGTCAAATCCATTCATAACCAGGCAGTAACATGCAACCGTCGTGAAGCAAAGGAGAGACTAAGATGATGATAGTATTGCCTTATGTGACAAGAATATGGAGGGTTAGAGGGTTCAACTATGTTTAGGAATGTTTTGAGGCCAAATCTGTTACTGTGGAGGTGAGTTATTGGAAAGAAACAATTCTCTACATGGGAGAAAAAAGGCTCACATAAGGAATCCACTTCTATGAACTGTAGGGTTTTCAGTCATTCTGCTTCAACTGTAACAAACTTTCTACTGTCTTTAGCAAGTATCCATAACTAATACTTTTGTTATTAATAGTATTGTATTAATACTAATACAATAACTAAGACTTCACATATCAGAAAAAATAACTTTAGCAGATTGTATTTCCTATGGTTCTTGAGCAGGGGACATATAAAATGTTCTAGAGTAGAACTTCTCACCAAGGGTATACAGAATCATCTCAAGAGTTTTTGAAAAATACTCATGTCTGGAAGCCACTCCCAGAGATTTTAGATTTATTCTGCTGCTTGATGTTGGGACAAAGTAAACTAACTTTAGAAATTCTGAGACTATACCTATCTACAACCACAGCAATCAAATACCCTTTCTTTCAGAAGCAAAGAAGGTCAGAGGTTCCAGAAAAGGGCAACGAAGCTCTTCTCTGCTCACCTCTCAGGAGTGGGCCTCTTCCCGTTTCCATGCACCTCCATGAGCAGCTCGGAAGAGTCAGCAGGTGATGCGATACTTGTGTTAAGCAGAAGGTGTTCGTGCTGAGCCAGGTACTGAGACGGGGTTTGCTTGGCGGCCCGAGCGCAGTGTAGCAGTTCTCGCTGCAGCAGGGGCAGGTTGGCCTTGAAAAGAAGAGGCAGGGGCTGGAAGGCAGTCTTCCTGGTTGTTGGGCACTACCCTTCAATTGTCAGGGCTCAGCACATCAAAAGGCCTTCACAAACCAGATGACCGCAAACAAAAGCCCTCTCTGTCAGTCTGATTTTCATCTGCCTCTTCCGTATGTAAAGTAACATCTATTACACTGCACTTGAATTATTACTGGTTGACTTGTCTCTTGCCCACAGAAGATGTAAATTCCCTTAAGGAAGGGACTGTGCCTTTTTCCCTTTGTGGCTTCGTACAGAGTCAAAGCTCAGTGAATGTCTGATGAACATAGTAATTTTTAAATTTATATATCTTTGAAGACTTTGGTCAGTTAGAGAATTATCACTGCCTACTTGGGAGTAGGAGGAATCTACTCTTTCCTCCTCTATAGGCTACTAGCTCTGAGCCCCCTCTTCTCAATCCCAACCTGTCTCTGACAGCACTGCTCAAACAACCTTCCCTTCATGGTCTCTATGAGAGCTGCCATGAAATTCCGGAAACAGTGATTATTCTGGTTTGGTTAGAACATGGGGTTTTTGAAAGGCGAGTAGTGAGAATGATGGGAAGGAAGGCAACAAACAAGCTTAGCCTAGGCTCTGAGGACATATGGGCGACCCACGTGCAGGGTCTACTTCTCAGTACGGCCCTCTAGGTGGGTACTTTTCCTTATTCTACAAAAGGGAAAAACCTTTAATGGGGACAAATCTCACATACACACAAACTCTATACATCTTTAAAACTTTAGAATTTTAATTTCTCCATACATAAAATTTACTTTTCCCATATTCCTTTTATTAAAAAACAAACCACAAAATAAGAAATGCATTTTCCCCCTCTCAAATTTAAAAACAATTCAGAGTGAGCCCATAATAGAAGCCTTCATCCCAAGAGAAACTGATGAGCAAGTGAAAGAAGAGTAGGAGAGTTCTAACACATGCAAGCAGTTACCCCTTCACCAAGGGTTAATTTAGCAGGCACATAATTAGTGACTGTTTTAAAGCAGTGAAAAATTGACAAAACCCAAATGCTAGCCAAAAAGCTGCCATAACAACCTACCTCATGCTGTTTTCCAAAATAACAGAGTTAAGAATAGGGAATTTGACTATGGAAAAAAACACTTTTTTAAAGACTGTAGTCTGTTCTATAACCTCAATCTTGTTGCAAATGTAAAAACTTAATAGAAAAAAATACTATGTCAGATCTTTACATTTGTGACACGTGTCCTTTGATGAATAAAGAAACACGCTAATTATTTCCTATTAACACAAATTTCACATCCTTTCTTGATTCTGGGGTCTTAGGGAAATAATTGTCTACCGGCTCCGACACACAGAAAGAAGACCAAGACAGAACTAGCACAGCTGTTTCAGGGCTAAAAAAGGCACCACAGACTGTCCTAAGATGCTGACGCTTCAATGCTATTACAACAGAGCCACAGCACAAGCTGTGCACCTGAGAACCAAGCACTTCCCTGGATGCACGTAATGCTCTAAGTTAAAAAAAGTTTTTTAAAAACTGCTATCAGTGCCTCAGTAAGATGACCCACCTTTTTGATGCTATTTTCTTTTGCTGTAAAGGACATTAGTGATACAACTGGTGAAACCTGAATGAGGTCTATAAACAAAAAAATAGTATTACATCAATCTTAATTTCCTGATTTGACAACTGTACTAAAATATTTAGCTGCATCGTATCGGCAGCTTAATCACAAACGTTTCTAAGTAAAAAAAAAATATAGAAACACCCTTTTAGCTCAGTGGTGAAGCCCCTCCCGAAGTTCACCGTTCAGCCAGGGTTTGGACAGCCTCATAAAACAAAACAGGACTAATGAGGCACAGCAGTCCAGGGACAAGGACTAGAAGGCAGGAGGGGACAGGAAAGCTGGTGATAGGGAACCCAAGGTTGAGAAGGGACAGTGTTG